CGCGGTGGGATTCTTCCGGTGGCACCACGGCGGGTAACTATGAGTTTATCGACGTGGTACGATCAGGACCGTCCACGTGGCATAAGAGGTACTTCGTGGACCTTGATTTCGTGGGCCAGTTCGAGATCGCACGGCCCACGAGTGAGTATCTAGATTTTCTGAGCTACGTGCCGCGAATATTCGTTGGAACTGCAGAGGAATTGAAGCGCACCGTTCGGATCTTGTGCGGTGTTGCGAAGCGTTGTTTTAGGAAACGGGGGTTAACTGTGCCTCCGTGGAGAAAAAACCGGTACATGCAGAACAAGTGGTTTGGTCCGTATCGGAGGACCACGAACCCGGTTCAGGGAAACCCGGTTCCCGCTGTCGTCTCTGTGATGGGTGGTGCCAAATGTAGGTTCGTGGGCTTTGACGACTCTGTTTCTGAGGCCAGACGCGGCGGCGTGGTTGTCCGTACGAGATGATTGATTTTTTTTTAAGCTTTTATTTTATTTTTTATTTTAGTTTAATATAGGTGTTGCATATGAGAGATTTTATAAAAAGGAACTATGGGTTGTTGAGAAATATTATTGGGCATAAATAATCGAACTTAAATGCGGCAAATGAACGATGTTGTTTATTCTATGCGGCGAATAGGATGGTGTTGTTTTACAGGATCATCGGACCATACAGAGTGTAACGATAATTGAAAAAAATAAACACGAATGTTTTGGATAATGAATGGTTTGGATAATGAATTCAAAAGGGACCACCCCTGAATTTTTAAAGAGAAATATAAATTTGAAATTTAGTAAATTAAAGGCATAATACCCAATTTTGTCCTCACTTTGGTTCGGAAATCTCAAGTTAGTCCCTTTCTAGAAATGTGAGTGCAATGGATCCTTACTTGTAATTTTTTGAGTCTAATGAGTCCCTTCCGTTAAATAGAAAGAAACGGAGTTAGTGGGCTGATGATGTGGCAGTACTTATTGATTACGTGTCAAAAGTCCAAAGTGTCTTCCTCCGAATGCGTGTGTTTCTCTGAAGTTTCGTGTTTCTGAGTCTGTTTCTCCACTTTCCTTCCACCCATCTTCCTTTCCTTTAAGATTCTCAATATCTTGAAATCATAACAATCCAATGGCCTCTCCTCTGTTCCTTCTTCCACCATCTCAATGGCCTCTCACCCAAACCAAACAGGTTCTCCCTCTCTCTCTCTCTTTCTATATTTCTTCACTCTTCTAAATTTTTCATTTTTCGATCACCCTTTTGCTTGTATCAGGAACGGGAGCTGACGGGCAAGGAGAAAAGGACCCCCCATCGCCGATCCCAGCATCAGCCTTTCAGAATCCACTTTCTGAGATATCGCCGTCACCGTCGCCGTCGCCGTCCTCATCGACAGCTCCGGCGCTGGTGCTTTCGAACTCGGGGAAGCGCATCGACCAGACGGGGAGGAAGAAGTACGTGAAGCAAGTGACGGGGCGGCATAACGACACGGAGCTGCACCTGGCGGCACAGAGGGGCGACGTCGGCGCCGTGAGACAGATCCTTCTCGACGTCGAATCTCAGGTTATGGGAACTCTCGGCGACGGCGACGACGACGATCTCGACATCGAGATTGCGGAAGTGCGAGCTTGCCTCGTCAACGAAGAGAACGAGCTCGGTGAGACCCCTTTGTTCACTGCAGCTGAAAAGGGTCATCTCCATGTCGTGAAGGAGCTTCTCAACCATTCCACTGCTCAGACTGTTTCCAAGAAGAACCGATCGGGATTTGATCCCTTGCATATTGCAGCTAGTAAAGGCCACCACTGTATGTAGTATCTCTCTTTTAGGGTTTCGAGGATGTCTTTGGCAGAGGGGAAGGTTGTTTTGAAGGTGATTGGGAAATTGTGCGAGGAGAGGAAGGAGTTGATGGTGGAAACTACCGTTTGCTGGAACTGGCGGTCTTTGTAGAAATCGAGAGTGGGGCGTCCGCCGACGCCAACGGATGAGGGGCGGCTGCTGACGTCGGAGTCGCGGGAGGGGTACTGGCGGCGGTGGAAGTCGACTGGAGTGGGTGGCGGTGGAGGAAGGAAAGAGTCCTTGGGTTGGCGTCGCGCGGTAGGTCTCATCCTCCCCAATTTCTGAATAAAATCCTTTCTTCCCTAATTTATTTCCTAATTAACCAACACACGTAAGCACATTTTTTGACACGTAATCAATAAGTACTGCCACATCATCAGCCCACTAACTCCGTTTCTTTCTATTTAACGGAAGGGACTCATTAGACTCAAAAAATTACAAGTAAGGATCCATTGCACTCACATTTCTAGAAAGGGACTAACTTGAGATTTCCGAACCAAAGTGAGGACAAAATTGGGTATTATGCCTTTAAAAAACAAATTGTGAGACGTTATTCTAAGTAATTCACTACAATAATCCGGTTAATTAATTTCTAAAATTTAGAATCGGTTTTAACAGGATGATAATAGGAATGATTACACCAAGAATGAACTCTTACTACAATGTTTAATAGACTTTACTTAGAATTGTTTTGGTACTGATTTAATAAAATTTAAAAATTAAAATTACTTATTATTGAAATCGATTTAATTGATGCTAACTCGTAATTTTTAATTTTTTTTATTTATTTTATACTTAAGTCAATTAAACTAATTCTAATAATAAAATTAATTTAATTTAAAAATTTATTAAGTTAACGTTAAAATGCCTCTAATTTCATCTAATGAAAAAATAACTTTTTTTTTATTTTGAAATACTTATTCATATAATTTTTAATTTTTTTCTTTCTCCCATTTACTATTCTCAATTTATTATTTTTCTTCTAATATTTAAATATTTTTTATCTTTAATTCAATATAAAACATTTATAATTCTTTTATTGTATTTTATTTAACTTTTTCAATATAAAAATCAAATTCACATTTAAATTAATGTTCACGAGTTCTTCTGTTTTAATTAATTTTGATCTAAAAGTATTTAACCAATTTTGACAAACATTAATATAGTCTAATTGTTTTTATCATTTGAATTAGTTTCTTTAAATAAATAAATAATATTATATTTTTCTTATATTATTTTCAAAACTGATAAATGATTTTTTATAAACAAACATTGCTAAAAAAAGAGGTTAATTTTCAATAGATAGTTACCAATGATGAACCACATTTAAATCAATTTATTAACAAATTTATCGATGATACTGGTTTCTTATCGATGAATATATGCATCGGTAATAGTGTAGGTAAGTTACCGGCGAATATATCTGTCGGTAATACAGTCAGTAAAGGTCATTAGTCATTACCGAGAGAATGTGATCATCGGTATGTACATCAAGTATATGAAATCAGAAATTAAGATTTTCCTCTCTAAATTTCAGTTTAGTAAATATCCTTCTTTCCCAATATCGAGAACTTCTCCTCCGTAATCTCTCTCTTTCATTCACTACCCTTTGCCCTAACCACCATTGCGATTCTGTCTTCCATACTCCTCCATTCACTAGTGAAAAAAA